TTGGTCAAAATAACTTTGCTGGGGCTTTGTAAGAGCATTCATAATCCCTACATGCAAACTCGCCATTTTTTACAGATCAGTGGCAAATGTAGGTGCAAAGTTCACCTTCACTTTCTTCAGCAATCGGTTTGAGTTAAATATGCTACTTACTGCTATGAAAACTTGCCTAAGGCTCAAAAAAGGGATAAAACTGTGCGTGCGGAAACACAGATGCAAAGTACTGCAACGCCTATCAGACTTTGACAAGTTGAAGCTACTTGGTTTCGTAAGCGTGCGGATATACAATTTGTGAGATAAGTATGCTTATAGCTTACCTTTAATGGCATGGACACCGAAACAGTATTTATTGTTGAAGTCCCGATACTTCAGGTAGTCTACCGGATTGACCTTGACACTTTTGGGGATGGTGGATTTGGGTCTAATTGTAAAGGTAGACTGATAGTGATGCGAGTAAATGCAGTTAGTTGTGGCTTAGTAGATTACCTATGAAAAAAATCCAAATGAAATGCGTACAACCATCAACTTGTGTGGGTTCAGAGAATTTTTAGGGTTGTATGAAAAAATGGCGCTAGCCTTGCATATTTGAGACAAAGACGAGTCGACCTACCTCTCAGGCTCGGATGGAGCTGCCTTCCCCTTGTCTCTCACGTGCAGAGAGATCATATTAATGTGTAGAGTCACACTGCCCTTGGTGTAAGACGTTTTATACTTCTACATGCAAGGTCGTTCTCAACGACTCTCGGAAGGTTGTAACGTGGGATGCGTTTTAAGTGTTTAATTACTCACATGGCATGCTGTGCAACATCAGCACCCTCATGCAGTATATGTCAACTTAGAAGGTATCAAGCTGTCATAGCTCTGCAAGTGCTCTCAAAACAACTCTTTGTATGACCTCCATGCATGGTAGTGACGTCTATACGCCATTTTATCTGAGTGGTTGAGAGGAAAAGCATAAAGGCAATCCTTTCTTCGTACAACAGTAAGGAAGTAGATGTTACTTAAGAGGAATAGCGCCACCCTATTAAATGCCGGACAGTAATCTACTTACTTAACACTAACTGACAATTCCTTGATGCATGATGAAGGCCAATGAAATCGAGATGGATCGGTGAAAGGCTGAAATTCGCAAGCAAGTATCATACTGCACTTCAAAATTACCGGACAGTTTCGAGTCTCTTGCCATGGGCAGAGAACCTCCTCATCCACTTAAAATGCTATAAACTTGTGAGTCATCGCAAAGCACGCATCGACGTGACTGCGCGGTGGCGGTTGCATACGGCACTCAAGCTTGAAGATGATTCGACTCTCAACGTGTGGTTCGGAGGTTGGATGTGCGAATGCGAGTGCGATCAAACTGTGGGATGTGCTGCTGTGTGATAAAAAAGGCATGTTACTGCTTTACAACCCTCTGATAGTGCAACTGTGCGATTTGCATGCGATCCCCAACACATCTTGAATTTTTATCGAAGGCACGCTCCACGGCAAATAGGGAACTAAGTTATAAAAAAGCAAAATGAAGTCTATTGCCAGAATTTATTTTCCAATTTCTTTACGCTAGAGAATTTG